GACTGTCACCAAGGAGCCCAAAGCTGCCTCTTTGCATCCCATGCTCTCCCTTTTTTCCTCAGGCATGCTTTGGCACTAGCATCACTGGGGTGGTCATGAGCCCTTTTGTAGGAAGCAATCTGACACAGGGGAGGCATCACTGTCTCACTTAGCCCTGCACAAAGTCCCCTGCGGGCTGCCTTGTCTCTGCCGCTGGCACAGCCTGTGGGTCAGCAGTGCAGCCCTGCGCCAATTAAGCCATGCAGCACAGCAGGGTGTGTGTGCCTTGGCCATCACAGCCTCCCTTGGACACTGCAGAGAAAAGGCTGAGGCTTCGCAATGTTAGCCTTCCAAGAACCACTTTAATTGCCCAGTAATGCACACCCTGGGGTCTTGTAATGTGCTTCTAATATGGAGCATTTAAAATATGAATAACGTCAAAACAATTACAAGGAGTTTGGTGCTCTGCTGAGTGTATCCTTCCACTCCAAAAAATAACCCATGACGAATACGATCAAAGTGAGGATATCAGGGCTTTCTGAAACCTGGCAGGGTCTCTCTGTGGCAGCAGGACTCAACACTCTTTCACTTAGTGCAACTTTACTCTGTTCTTCCAGGACTAAAAGAATCACTAGATTTGGGCTCCAGATGGTTCAGACCTACCTTATCTCCCTCTGATCAGCCCTAGCATCATTTTGTTTAATTTGAGATATTGTCTAAAGACTCTGCCAGCAATAGTAAGAAAGGAGAAACCACAGAATATGTCAGGCTGTAAGAGAGTTTGGATAGAAATGTCAGAGAAGCAAGGGGCATTTCCTATGATCTGTTATTCTTTCAGCAAATAATTTTTGGATAGGTTTAGAAGTGATTTTTTTAGTTGCTTATTTATAAAGAGTGAAAGAAAGTTCTGCTTCTCAGGAAGGACTATGGCTTAGCTAATTTATCTTCTAGTGTTTCTCTACATTCTTAACCAAATTTAATTAGAGCTTGTTACAACTGTCATACTAGGAGAGATGTTTTTTGTCTGTCCATCTGTATTCAGAATCAGCAAAAAGAATTGCATTAAAACTGCTGAAAATGATGAAATAGAAATCAAAAATCTGAAATTCATGGTCTAATGCTGAACGTTTAAGAAAGTTGAAGGCATTTGGAAACAGGCAGTTTCAGCTGGAGCTGTATGCAGTATTAACTCTAGAAAGAGTTACTACAAGCCAACTATGGTAACTCATGTATTTCAGGAATGGATTTATAATTCACAGTATGATACTCTGTACTGTAATGACATTATATGCCATTACTTAAGATAATATTGCATATTAAATTCAGATTGTGAAATGAAGTTCAGTTGCTTTACTGCAATAGAAGATCTATAAATGTCCTGTTGCTGAAACCTCAGAAATATTGTATTAAATCTGTGTATATTCTCTGAAACTCAAAGTAGACAACCTGTGCAAAAACCTCCCCCTGGAAATGAAAAATGTGAATTTGCAGTAAGTGCCAGTTTGTGCCCCTAATTAAACACAAATGTGGTTGTTGGAGTCACTGACTGTGATGGAATTAGAGCAGGGATGAATTTAGTACTAAGTGACAATTTCTTTTGGAGAAAAAAAAAGTGGTTTGAAATACTGGCATTTACCTCAAGAAATCAGCACTGCTGACTGGTGTTCCAGGATCTGTGTGCCTAATGCTTTTGGGAAGGGCTGAGGAAGCTTTCTTCAGAAATGCTTGTCTTTCTCAAGTGTCTGGAGGCAAGAAGTCATCAAAGGCAGCAAGAGATGAGCAAGGCTTTGCTCTCTCTTGCACAGCAGTAATCCAGAAATCCAAGGTTTGAGGCAGCAGAGCTGGGTTAGTGTGTATTTCAGTCTCCAGTGAGGGTGAGAAGCTTTCAGAAATCCCCAAGTTTAAAGACAGCATTATTATGCTGTGTCTGTTGCTACAGGACCAGGTCAGCTCTGTTCATCTTTCATCTGCTGTTTCATTAGGTGGTCTCTTGTAGGACAGACACACTAGAAGCCTCTTAAAGCAGCAGCAGTGATGCCTAGCTATTCTGCTGTTTATCGCTGCTCCTAAATGAATTGATCCAGAGGGATGCACTGCTGTAGTCCATACTGAGTGTTAGGGTCCTGAAATTTTTTGTACTTCCTTACAACACTAGAGTTCAGTCACAACTATAGGGCAAAGGAGAATCACTGGAGAGAGCCTCTTCATGACCTGCCTCTTCTTTTAGTCATAGGAAATACCTTCTACCTGAGACTTCATTAGATTTGTTGTGCATTTGATGCCAAGAATTATTTGACCTAAGACACTGGAGGTTGCACAACCAGAACTGCTCCCCTTTGCTCACTGTTTCCAGACACTTCCTCTTGACATAAAACCAGATTAATTCTTAGGAGGGGAACGTTTCTGAGCAGAGCCTTTCACCTCTGGGTCACTAGATGAAATCTGGCCCTGGTCAGTAGTGACCGAAAATCATTACCAGCTGACGGCTACTTGGGGAAATGAGATGGTGAGTCTCATTCCAGTTCCTAATGGACACATCTCAGCAAACACAGTCACAACTGGCACTAACTGGCATTCTCAGCTGAGAGACCACAAACTAAACAGCGAAGGAAATTGAACCTTCCGCTTCATCCCTTGCCTGGGTTTCAGAAGCATTATGGACATGCTTTCTATACCACCATTGTTTCACAGGCTGGGTTTACTCTAAATGGCTTTTCAAAACCTTGTCATTTTTGTGCAGCATGATTCAGCACAGCCTGATCAGCTATCCCAATATAATTAGGCTCATGTATGGCTCCCCTCAGTAGAAGCTGAGCTGCCTGATGCCACCTACCAGTACGAATGGCAAATCTGATGTCATATCTCAGTATGAACGGAACTGTCTGATGTCACCTCAGTGCTAATGGGACATTTTATAATATGACATCTAAGGCTGCAGGGGAGATCTCCTAATCCATTCATTGTGCCACACTACACTAGAACATAACACAGTATAATGTGTAGGTTAACTTAGGCACCCTCAGGCAAATTTTGGATAGATGGACAGATGGATGGATGGATACATTTATACAAAGTATACATACATTATATCACTCTATTGATTTTTAAAAAGTTCCAGGTCTGCCTGGCTATAATGAGATTTTTGAACTTTGTGTTGCGATCAATGAGGGGAATATTATTGGCCTGGAGAATTGATATACCCGCTCTCTGTGGCTTGTTCTGCTCCTGGACTGCCCCTGCCCCCAAGGTGTACGATTCCATCAGACACTTAACCTCTTTTACAGTGTCATCAGGCTAAAAGGAATCTAATAGTGACACGGGACTTGTGCTCAGCACTCTGGCACTATTGCTTTCCTGTCACAAATAATTTATAGCTTTCTATTTCCATCCCTTTGCCTGCACCCCATCCCCTTTTTCTGTTTCTCTGGGCTGGGGGAAATCAATAAACTCACACAGCCAGAGTGGCACTTCAGGGGGTTTTAGGGGGAATGTGAGAAAAGAGAAAAGAAAAGAAAAAATCAGAAAAGAAGAAAAAAGTTGTATTATTTGCCCCAGCACAGACTTCTCAGGTAAGTTCCTCAGCTAGTGCAAATCAGCATGACCTCAGAATCTGGCCCTGTGAGGTTCTCAGACACCTTCTGTATAGGTCCTCAGCAGCTCTAGATTAGGGACCCTCATACCACTGACCTATATGGGGTGAGGACCTGGACCTCCATCCCCAGCTAGAACCTTGATATTCCCTGTCTCCAGCTATGTCCCAGGCAGCCTCTCTGCCACTCCAACAACTGCCCAGGCTTCATTATGTGTGTACCAGAGTTTTGTAACATACTGATATGATACGCTCTAAAATACCTTTCTTCTCCCAAGAAGGTTTCGCTCTCAGGAGTTGTGCCCTCTCAACATCTCTGCCTATCTAGCCACTAGCCACAGATGTGCTCTTTGAAGTTTTGCCAACTTATTCTTTAGAATGAATCTTTAAGGGAAGCTCTCTCTTTGGTGGAAAGGAGTAATTTGTTTTCACTTTCTGGAGAGATTTTGGGGGAGAGTTTAAAGCTAATATAATGCAGGGCTGAGAGTTCCAGAAACTCATGCTGAAGAACATCTGCAGTGTTCACCCTAATTGGAAAGGCTCGTTTTAATCTCAAAGGAATTTGGTCTCAATGGTCTTTGCAGGTCATGGCTTATTTGCCAAGTTCCTTGGCTAGGCTCCTGAGTCACAGATACCCACACCTGCCAGCAGGCAGGGACCTTGACAGTCAAGTACTAGGTGCTAGTGATTTTCTTTCACCACTGACCTCAGCTGGGTTTAAATCAGTGACCTAGAGGTGAAAGATTTAATGTAACAAGAAATAAAGCACTGACAATTACAGTTTATTTTCATTCTTGAGCTTTGTGTGATTCACTGAGACATCTACCTGAGTTCCCATGCTGAGATCATTCACCTCCTGATAAAGACCAATTTTTGCCCTCTTTGCTGGAGCTTCTTTTTCCTGGTTAACTATATCCCATCACCACTTCCTACGGATGCCTTCTGCTCCCACCTTCTCATTTATGAAGGGCAAGGGCTTTGGGCAAGCCTTCCACCAGTTCAAAGCATTCAGCATTCAGTTCTATGCCAGAAAGGTATTTTTTAGGTCCACAACAAAATTAAATCTACACCACTTGTAAATCCAGCAGTGGCTCTATTATCTGCAAAGACTGCCTTGTGTTCATGCTGGCAGATCAGGTCCTAAATGATAATGCAGTTGCTAAAACACAGGACATCCTAGCTTGTTACCTGAGCACCAGTTTTGCAGTGAATACCCAGGTTTCAGGGAAAGATGACAGAGCAGAGCAAGGACAATCTCCTGAGTACTGGACCATTGAAGCAGTAGAGTCAGGACTGTGAGAAGGCAAATGAAGTGACTCTGCTGCATGCAGACCTCAGGCCAGATCTTCAGGTTCTCAGCTGGGATCGCGGGTATGCAAAGGCACACGGAGAAGTTGCAGTAGAGTTCTGAACGTGTTCTGCTCTTTTTCAGGATCATCAGAACCAAAGTTCAGCAACCTTTTCACCCAACACCAGATGGGAGTGGGACAGGTGTGACTGCACCAGGACATACTATCGGTAAGGAGACTGGCACGAGGGGTGGTGACAGGACAAATGGAAATGAGGATGATGCTTCGTTGAGGGAACAAACTCTGACAAGCGGATGCTAAGGAGAGCAAAAGCGAGGAGGGGTAGGGGTGGGGGGCGTAGGGGGGGAAGGAACCTCAATGGACATCAGAGGTTTCTGTTCTTTATTTCCCTCCTTACATTGCAGAGAAGGGAACTGTGGCAGAGAAACCAGCCCAGGGTAGGGGTTTGCTCTGCCCTAACATCCATTTCATGTTCACACTCTTTCCTTAGCTTCCCTAGGGAGAAGCATTTACTGCTACCCTGTTTAAGCATCAGTCTTCAACAGCTGTCTCCTTACTCTGACTCTCTTTTCCCCCCTCTCTCCCAATTTCTTTTCTCTCTCTTTGCTGGAACTGGTCCATTTCTTAGAGCTAGTAAAAACAGACATGGGTAAGATATTCCTGATGCCTCATAACTGAGTTCTTCATTGTTCTGGCTCTGCAGCCAGGTATCCTATGGGTGTATTTCACTGAGAAAATGCATTTTCTGCTGGGGGAAATGGGTTTTTCAAGGTGAGCAGAAGATGGAGGCTGTAATAAAGTGACCAAATATTGTGTTTAAAGGTACTGTGCTAGATGTGCGATCAGGTACTTTTCACTCTGTGGGCTGTATGGTGCATATATTGTTGTAGCTTTATACAGTAATAATTCAGAGCAGGAAAAAACATGCAATATTTTGGGATACTGTGATATACAGTGGCCTAAGACACTTTCTGAAATACTGTTGGTTACCAAGAATTAGCTGCTATACAAAGATTTACTGGAGAATACAAAGATTGACTGGAAAGTGATGGTCTACATGGGACAGAGCTGGCAGATACAATTCTGTACATGAATTGTGTTCTGGAGCACAGTGGAATTTATGGGCCAGTATGGAAGAGCATTTCTGGATGCTCTTTTAATCCGGACTTGCTCATTGGACTGGGAATCACTAACTACAACAGATGGAGCTGGCAGATACTATTCCTTCTTGGAAAAGTAGTGGATGTCTAGGGAAAGCATTGGCTGAGCTGGGATAGTAATTGCAAGTGCTGCTACTGGAGTGTTTTATTGCTCTGGGATGTACTGGGAAGTGTGGGTCTACACGGGATACTGTTGACAGGTTTTGCTCCATCCTGGAAGGCTTGAATTGGAGGCATTGATTTCTTCAGGACAGTGCTTTATGAGTTGAATGATGGGTAGTGGCCTGCAAGAAACTTGGGATATTCTCCCCATTACTGGGACATGCTGGGACATAATGGGCATGCCTACTGGATGCATAGCTCTACTTGTTCTGTACTCGAAAGCCCTGATTATCATGAAGTGATCATTTCTAACCTGTATGACTTGTCATTTCTGAGATATTGGAAACTCATGAGCAGTCTTGGACAGCCCTGAGTGGCAGGAGGAGTCTGCCTGTTGACATTGGTTAGTACAGGAAGGAGACACTAGATTTTTATTAATCTGTTCGTTAGTACAAGAATGATACACTATATTTTTATTAATCTGTGTTGGAGTCTGTATCCCCAACTCACCATTTGGTTCAGTAGGGAACTGAATTTATTGGGCCAATACTGAAGTGCTTCTAATCCTATGCTAAGAATGTAATTTCTCAATGAGTGTTTGGATGGACATGCGAGAGGCTGGTCTGGCTAAGACAGAACATGTGCACTCCTGGTGGAAAAACGCTGAGAGGAAATGATCTGGCAAAATATGGATGTACTAGGAAGCCACTGGAGAATGCGGGCTATGCACCATTGCACTCCGTTACTATGGCACGCACTGGGAAGCCTGCTCTGAACTGGGATGTAACAACAAGGTTTAGTTAGCTTCTTGATGGAATATACTTGCTTGTTATTAATGGCCCTGTACTGGAAGGCTGTTGAGCTATGGTATAGGAATGACAAAGCTGGGATGCAGTAATGTTAGCAGTAGAACGAGTATGAGTCTTTCAGTGTGAGGGACTGGAAGTCTACTTAGTGCCCAGGCTTTCCTATGAGACTGGTGGCATGTGTAGCTTTCAGCTGTGGGATCCCTGAGTGCTGTGCTGCTCTCCTCATGGCCCTTTTTCCCTTTTCCTTTTGTCCAGTGCCCAGCACAGCATCCCCTCCCGTCTCCAGTGCCTCCAATGATCCAGTGGGCTCTTACTCCATTAACGGGATCCTGGGGATTCCTCGGTCGAATGGCGAGAAGAGGAAACGTGATGAAGGTAGGGGGAGAGGAGAAGTTCATCCTCCCTTTTATATTCTTTGTCCCCATGTACAGGCTCCAATTTCAGGCCAAGGTTTGCAGCTGCTGCAGGGGCTAGATCAGTTTTAGCAACAGAGACCAGTTCCCCACCACTGCCCTGCTGGCTTGGAATTCTCTTCTTCCGAGGCCCTTTCATGACAGGCTGCATCTCCAGACATCTGCTCAACAGGCAGAGAGCCGTCTCCATTGCTGGAGCTGATCCCAAGTTCATTCACTGCTGGAAATGGCTGGAACTGAACTCCCCAGGTGCCAGCAGGTGCCCGGACTTTGAACTGCGGGTAAACATGGTTTCCCCGACTCACTCGTTTAAAAAAAAAATGCTGTCTTGGAGAAGCACCAGCAATGTAGGAATTATTTTCCATTCCCCTTGCAAACAAGTTCCTGCCCTGTGAAGTGCCATGAGCTACATTAGCTGGTGATTATAAGGGCACAGTTTTCAATGGATGGCACTACCACAGCAGTACTGCCATGCTTGCAACAGTCTGAAAGCAGAACAGGTCTTCCGAGTACTGTGGCCCTAAAGCTGTTATCTAAGAATTTCAATAGGGCTCTAAGGAATTAGGATTAAGCCATCTCCCTTTCCTTCCTACCTGCTGGGAAGGACTCAGAGCAAAGTGAAATGAATCAAAAGTTGGAGCCTCAGGTGTAGACAGACTGAGTCAGGATGGGTGGGTGAGATCTTGGTGCTCTTACGGTGGCTTTGTAAACTTTTTTTCCTTAAATCTTGTTCTTTTAATTTGATGCATTCAAAAATTCAGGGTAGTGACCTTTTCTAAGAGTAGTGCCTGACCAGTTTGTTCAGTACAGCCCTGCCTTCAGTATGTTGTTTTCCACTGTTGCCTGTTGCATGGGGACAACCTCTTAGCAGCACTGGTGGGTCAGTGTGCTGTGTGTGCTGTAAGCCCCAGACTGCGTGGTACAAGAGAGCATGAGGGTTCTTTGTGTGATATGTGGTGAGAAGAGAAAGTTCTTCTGAGAGAGATGCTGTATTTTGGGAGTTTGCTAGTGATTTTCTCAGCATTGGTTCTGGTGAGCTTTACATCTGCAAGTTTTTGATCCAAATAAGCACAGTAATTCTAAGGAAAAAAAAAAAAGGCAGTGATCGTGACCCCTTTCTTCCTAATACAAGGTGAAACTAGAGGCAAGGACCCAATCTAGCTCCTGTTAAATGGGAAGATTTTTGCTGATGTCATTGGAAATTGGATCAGGCCCCAGAGGAAGATCCATTTCCCAGCTAGATGGCAGTAGGGCCCAGCTAAGAGAAAAGTGTAGCAATGGAAGGGCTGAGTCAATGCATCAAAGTCAAAAAATGTCAGGAATAAGAGAGTGCAAACATTACAAACCCCTCCAGCATTTCCCATCATTACATATACAGCAAATAGTGACATTTCAAACTCAGTGACAAGTTTCTTTAATGTTTGTGCAAATCTCTTGGCAGTTATTTGGAGTTTTATTGAACCCCACCTCTCACACAGTCCAGAGTGGTGATCACCAGCTCTCAACATGGGGCCTCCATATCTCATTTTGAAATGAAGCAGTTCATTTGGCTTTGGTGACCATTCTTTCCAAATACCTGCAAAGATCATGCCACTTTAGATGCAGCCACACAGTCACTTTCAGCCTCAGAACCTGAGCTTTTCTGGAGCAGTACAATTAAACACAGAAACAATAGAGCAGCTGTCTAAGACTGTGACAATTCACAATAATATACTGACAGTAGGAACAACTCTCTGCTGTTGTCTGTCCTTAATTCATCCCAGATTTGATTTATGAAGGGCAAGCAATACTCTGCAACTCTCTGCTGTTGGCCAAGAGCCCATGTATCGGAATCAAAACAGTATCAGACAATCCTGGAGACGTTGCTTGTCTTTAGTTCTCCAGAGTTTTAGGCAGCAGTTACATGACAAAGCTGCAAGTACCTTAGAGAACAGGCTTCCTCTTGCCATCCCAGGTACCTCCTTCAAGGAGATAGCGCACTCCTGTCCCAGAGAAACCTTGCATGGGAACCCCTGCCAGCTGCTGAACACCCTTAGCCAAGGGTTGAGTTATCTGGGCTCACACTGGCCTTAAGAAATGCTGAAAGACATTATCACTTTGCAGGGTTGGGTCCTAAGGCTAGAAGGGTCCATGGGGGCATTTGCACAACCAGTGACCTGCACTCACTCCTGGGAAATCTCCCCTATAGCAGTGATGACTCTTGTTGCTCCTAGCTGAGATGGGGATTAGCAAAGCCTGGCAAGAAATCCAGTGCAGGTATTTCTTTCATGCTCTTGCTGAATACATACACCTCCTCAGTATTTCCCAGGGCTTCTGAGCACTGTTCTGTTCCAGTTTCTTAACTGCAGGGTTTATTCTCATGTTGAAAAGCCCTTATGCGCTCCCAACACACATCTGCTTCCCAGCATTTTGGGGATGGCTCTTCCCTAAAGAAGGCAGAAGAACCAGCACTGCTGTCTCTTTTCTTTCCGCTCTGTTGGACCAGCTCTGCTTCAAGGATTCCTCTGTGAGGAATGCAGTTCAGCAGAAAAGGGGAAGTACCAAGCTGCTCCTGAATCCCTGGTTCTGAAAACCTTGTTAGCAACCTCTGTGGTGGCTGAGGCGAACAGGGTGGGAGAAAGACAGAGGAGCCTCTATCTGAGCACACCCCCTCCCCCAGGTCCTCCTTGCTGCAGCTGGTGCCTACATTAGACAGTAGCTCAGATGATTAAGAAGAGGAAAGATAATTATGTGTCAAGATGATGTAGCAGAACTCCCGAGTTGGACAGAAGGAGCCAGACGGATGCATGAGGTGGGCTCAGCGATGGACGCTGACAGCCAGGTGTGAACCTCACAGGGAGTTAGAGGGAAAAGGGAAAATCCCAACCTACCAAATCTGCTGGTTACAACTGCAAGGGTAGCCTGGGAAGACTATGGCAGTGAGAGAGCTAGCAGGAAGGTAGCTCTGAGTGTCTACTAGTCACAACAGGGAACTGTCAGATCACAAGTCTTCCCCCAGAACTCAGTGTGTCTTCCTCAGGTGAGTGCCTAGGAAGGATGGTCAGGATTTGCCCTGTTGAGCCTATGCATTCCTTTTGTTTCCATTTTTGATGAGTGGCTGTAAACCCTCTGACTTACAGACAAAGCAGAGAGTTGGTCTTCTATGATTATAAAAATAATTTGGCTGAAAAAGTTCACCACCACTTGTCTAGCACAGCGTGTGCCACTTCATGCAGTCTATGAGCACTGCCAATACTGATGTTATTTCCCTCTGACCTTCCCCACCATTTACACACACCATCTTCTAGAGGCAGAAGTGGCCCTGCAGCATGTAATGACTTTCCCAAGACCACTGGGTCTTGCTGCAGCTGGAAACAGGAATTCCTGGCTCTTCACAATCCTAACGTTGTAATACGCTGTGATAGCAAGCTAAGCTCAGCAGGGTCATTGTCAGACTAAGGAGCAGCAATAAGAAGTCCAGAAGAATAAAGGAGAAAAATAATATGCAAATATTTCTGTTGTTGCATAACCCCATATCCTTTAGTTGATAGCTAAAAGGAGGAGAACGGGGATAGCTTGGAAGCACTAACAAAAAATAAGTATCATTCATACTGTAGTCTTGAGTACTGTGTAAGGAGAAAAAGGGAGAGATGAAGAGAAAGAGAAGAATGGATAGATAGATGGACAGATAGATGGACAGATAATTAGAAAATATGAAAACAGTAAAACAGTATTTCAAACTGTCTTTGCACGCCACAGGATCTCCAGCTGGGTGAAGCTTGGGATCTTTACAAAACACTCTTGCTAGAGATTAGAGATAGCTCTTTCTCTCCATACCAGTCTACAGACTTCCTCTATAGACCCAAATTCTCATTTGGGATTTGTCTTCCAGTGAGGCTGGTGCTGTAACATTCTCAGCATCATTAATCTTGGTCCCTGACAGTATCTGAAGTATTTGACAGCATTACTGGCAATAATATCTGCAGTGCTGACAATGGCAGAGATAATATCCCCCAGTATTATTGGCATTAGCAGGGATCATATCTGCAGCCTGTTATTGGTGGGAGCAGACATAATGTGTCCAGTATTATTAGTATCAGTAGTAATAAAACTCATAGGCTTGTTAATACGATCAGTGCTAATATCAGCAGTAGGTTTGTGGGAGAGGAGGGGATGGAGTGATTGCTACTGTAAATGGCAATAATACTCGGGCTGTTTGCAGTAAAGGAATCCCCAGTGGAGATGGGGGAGCAAACGTGAGAAAGCAAAAGTTCCTCCTTTCCTTTCTTCACCTGGGGATCTGATGATCAGACTGATTTACACTGAAGTAAGCAATGCAGGACTACGTCAGTGCAGGAGGACAGTAAAGGGTCACCAACATTTTGGCAGGTCTGTGATGGTGATGTTTTCCAAAGAGTGTTAGTTCTATCAGTGCAAGTAGTTCACTGTACACTTCAAAAAGGGGTTGAGCTATGCAGAATAGGGTGCTGCCTACTAGCAGTGGGAGCACTTACACTGTTAGTCATGTAGCTGCAGGACAGTCAGCATAACTGCCCTTCTCATTGGTGCTACACACACAGTTTTCTGCCATTACCACAACACCTCTACTGAGAAGCACTGCTTTTGTTATAGGTGGCTTTCTCTTCCCTCACTCCAGATGGGAGGGCAGGGGTTTGGCAGTGTTCAGCTTGGGAATTCTCCTGCCTGGACATGATCTCATTTTCCTACAAGGAAAGCAGAAATGTCTCCTTCAGGTGGAGCGTGAGGCAGGGAGATCTACAGCAGTCCCAGTACTGAAAGTCATGTTTTTCTAAATACTGCCCCAGGACATATATTGTCTTGAAGAAATTCAGTTGTTTAAGTGAAAAGTAGTGCAGAAAGATGTGTAATGTGTTCAAGAAGGTCTGAAGTTGTGAGCAGATACACAGCAGCTGTGTGTCACTGCAACTGTGATCCTATTTGTGCTGTTCAGAGTGCCAATGA